AATTTAAATAATGGCTGTTTCGTTTAAATATTGAAAATTTATACAAATTTCTGCAGTATAATTAATCAGGTAACTGCGTTCGACGAGTATACACTTTATTATTTGATTTTATAGCGCGCACAATGAAAGATCTTTCAAATTAAATTCAATAGTTAACTAGTTAAAAGAGCAGCCCCGACGTTTCTCGTTGCAGCCATAAAGGGAGGAATTATGTAACTGCCTGTCATAGTGAAAATGGATGGAAGAACTACTTAAGCCTTTTTATGCCTCGAGTGGATACTGTACGACTAGATTGCACTGCAAGATTAAAACTACTTTCATCAGCATTATATTTCAGACAATAAATTTCAATTATCTTTTTAATATTGTTGATAAACGTTTCATTATTTTCCTGTGACATAAATGCAATTGTATTGTAAGAACAAGAAACCTTATTTTCTTCTTAAGGAAATGAAATTTAAGAAATTTGATCTAGCATCCATTTTTGTAAATCTGTGTCATATTTACATTTTCTATTACAACAACAGTACAAAAGTGATTATTTATGTAACTTTCACCAAAGATAATTTCAATATATACAGTTACATTACTAACTTTATTTTATTCGATTTTTGTTTCACGCTTTCAATTAACAATCCTTTTATTTTTCTACTGTCCCATTAAGCAGTAGCTTTAGGTTTCTAATGCAAGTATTGTACATAGGTTTGGTTTTTTCAAGCATTTAGCTTGTACTGCATTAAAAAGATTTGCAACGTGTGACATTTTCATTAAAAATATTTTACAATTATAAGAGCAACTAGTAAAACAATATCAGTGTTATACAGGTTTTTATACTGAACGAAATATCGTCCATATTTTCTGTTACATAATATTATCAAAATATTATACAGTACCAGCTTCTGCTGATTTTTATTATTTTAGTTTGTACTGAATATATTAAAAGATGTTATTAATAAATAAATGAAATGCTTGAATTGGTGAAGAACATTCTGTACACATCTATAAATGTCACCATCTATAATTCATGTGATTACTCTTGAATGCTGTCAAATGGAGTTATGCTACAAGTATCTGTGTAAATTTCTTTTTCAAATTCCCATGAGGTCATAAGTCTCAGGCGCTCGCTATAGAATCCCAGTACTGCAACTTTGTATTTTATTTGCGCGCCAAATTAAAGTTACGCAGTACGTTTCAATTCGGTGGAGTTATTGCTTCCGAGTTTTCAAATGTTTGATTGAGTTTGCAACCAAACGTTTGATGACCAAATATTTACACGAATAATTGCAAACATTTAAATCGTACAGTGCTTACAAATTATCGTTGATAAACAAGGTGCAGTTGATTGAGGAATGCGATATGTGCCGATCGCTTGCTGGATGACTTTTCTGATTTCGACTGACTGACAAATACGATGTGATTTCTCACAACTGATTAAAGCTTTCTAATTGAGCTTTGAATAATTGTCGACTGTACGTCGAATTCTAATCAGAATTAGAGAAACGTTCAATGGTAGTGCAAATCCCTTTTTCAGAATAAACAAGAAAAACCTAACTAAAAATGCAATTAAGGTATAGATTGATTTATAATATATCGAGAATTATTGACAATCATAGGTATAATTTATGAAAATTCGGCAAAAGTTATTGCTATAAGATTTATTGTCATAATATTCACGTATAGTTGAAAAATGATTACACATTTTTTTGTCGGATAATATTTATAAATGGCTGCCATGGAGGACATCAAAGTTGGATTTGAAAAGAAGATTGCTTGTTGCCATAATTTGAGCTATTCTGCTCATCCTGAACAAGCAATTCAGTTGATTTTTAAATAGTATGAATGTGACTATTTTGTTGCATTTATACGATAAAAAAGTATGTTTTACGCTGAGGATGTAAGTGAAATGAAATATCATTTAAAGATGTAGAATTATTTATTACCATTTAGTAAACCAGAAAATAAAGTATTGTATATTACTATACAAAGAAAGTAAGAAGACAAGTATTAAATATAACGTGTGCTGTTTATGTAAAAGTTTAGGTAAAACCCTTTATTTAAACGTATCATAAGCAAAATAGCATTGGATTAAAAGTATATTGCTTCTTAATCCGTGAAAGTGAGATGAAACTTTTAAAAAACATACAATTACAGTTTTCACTGTAGAATTTCAGTTCCGAGAAATAAAAAAATTTGCTTGAGAGTTATTATTAT